TATCTTTAAAATTTACACTTAATCTATTAATAAAGTTTATTGGAGCAAGACTCCGTTGGATATAAAAAAAAAAAAATTTCATCCATTTAATATCTGAATACTTGACAACAATACAATTGTAATAATATTTCAAAAAATTTTAAAAGTTGTTTTTGACAAAAAAAAAATATTAGTAAAAAAAATTTATTTTAACAATTTGTTAGTTGATTCCTAAGTTCAAATTCATTAGTAACTAATTAAATAACAGATAAATCTTATTAACCTTGTTTCACCTCACAAAATCAAATTTCAATATGTTATAAAAGATATCCCTTATTTTCAACTTCAATAATTGCATTGTAATCACCTTAATTATTAAAGAACTTCAATAATGTTTTGAGATTACTTGTTAAAATCCCTTTTTTTATTATATAAATTATAGTATAATTAATTTGTAATTTGCAAGAAATGGAAAGATCTACATTAATAAAATGTGGAGATAAGCTATATATATGCAATAATCTCAAGTTGAAAAGGGAAAATTACAAAAGTCATTTTATCAATTATGATAAAAAAATCAAAGGTTCTGATTGTACATATTTTTAAAGTCAAATGGTAACATTAATAAAATAAAATAAAGTTTCCTTTTTTTAATAAACAAAACTTTTTTTCAGTTTTATTTAAAATTTTATTTTGCCCAAAATTTATTATGTTAATCCTTTCTGTTTCTTGTAAATTATTGGTTTTTGATTAATCTCCAAAATTAAGCAAAATCCTGATATCAAATGACAAATTTAACATTGTTGACAGAGATTCACCTTCAAAAGAATTCAATAAATTAACAACTAAAAGCAGGAAAAATATGTATAGCAGACACTAAAACAATTATATTAAATATGCTATTATTGAGTAGGCTATACTATAGAGGAAAGTATAAATATGAAGGTTTTATTATTACAGATTTACTCAAAAGAGGCTAAAAGGGGTGAGATTTTTAATGAGGGTACATGTCACTAAGATAATATTTCACTAAGAGTCACTAAGACAAGTCACAAAGACAAAACTATACTATATAAGTCACAAAGACAAAAACTATACAAAGATGAAGGTAATTTGCTAAGAATTCAAAAAGGAGTTTTACTAAAAAACAAAAAGGTATTTCACTAGGAAAATTAATAATAACTTTATAAAGATTGTAACTAAGATATTACAAAGAAATAATTCACTAAGAATTATTGTAAATCACAGAATTTTATTAATTGTGAGTTTTGAACTGAGAACTGAGAGAAAAGGAATTCAGTTCTTTACATACATATTTGAAGTCATAATAGATTATGCTGTAGACTATGCTAATGTATATACTATTAATTATGCTAATGTATACATCATCTATTATGCTATCTACTACACTGTCTATGACACTTTTGATTACACTATTGATTATGCTATAAATTACACTATCAATTACAATGAAGATCTACAGTCATAATACTTAATAGTTACACTAATTTCTAACTGATTTACAAAAATTATGTTAATATATACTAAAAATATATGTAATACAGATAATAATAATAAAATATATAATAATAAATAATATAATAAAAATAAAAATAAAAATAAAAGAATAATTGACAATATACAGAAAATATGAAAATTTTATTTTTTATCATTTGCAAATTTAAATTTTATTCAATTATAATGGTTTACATATTAATAACATATTTTCATTTAATAAACTTGAATTCATATCACTTGTAAATTCTAATAACAATAATAATAATTATTATTATTTATTAAATAATTAATAATAAAAAATTCATTTATAACTTTAATTTTTCTGTTAATTCTTTATCAATATCATTATTTTCTTTAATAATTTATGCTTGATAAAGTGAATTATCTTTCTTCAGAAGATTAATCATGCATGCATTCAACTTCATTTCAATATTATTCATGGTATGCATGTCCACAAATAAGTACAATGCCATTTGTGTTTAGTATAAAATCACAATTCTCATAATCACAAAATTGATTCTGGTTTGGTAAATAAGAGAAATGATGACCTGATGGTATTGCTCCTAAAGAAAATCTCTTAGAAAGTGGTGGGAAATAATAATATGGTTTCTTTATTTTTGCACCTTCCATTTTTTTTTCTGCTTTTCTGTGATTAACCCAAAGTTTTTCAAAAAATTGTTAAAGAAATATAGCAGTTTGTTTCATTATTAAACCTAAGTTCATTTTTTGTATAAGTATAAGAACATTTGGATTCAAATGATTGAACAAATTGATTATTATTTCTATGATAATCAATAAATATTGTTTTGCACCTCACTGTACCATTCTTCACATATGACTTTTCCAGATGTATGACTTTGAACCAAACTATAAAGAATAATTTATGAATATTTGATGAATATCCAGTGAAAAGACTTTAAAGTATTGATAATGGGAAGTTGAATAGAGGTCCAGCATTGAATATTTGATATTAAAGCTGGCATAATTTTATCATAATTTTTTTGTCCAAATCTTCTCATTACTTTTCATAATCAAAATATTGTTTCAATATATTGGTCAAATTATTTGCCTGAAATAAAATAATATAAACATCCAATGTAGCTAATATTAAATTTTCCATAAATTTTACAATATCAAAGATTTTTTAAATATTTAAATCTTGCAAAAATATGAGATTCTATAGTACTCCAACCTGCATGTGCTAAATTAAGTATAAGATTAATATGCCAAGGTTTTGGTTTTGCGTTCAATTTTATTTTTTCCAAATACTTTGTTGTGTAACTCATTAAAAAATGAATAAAAAGTCAAAAAACAACTTTCTCAAATATTAAGTGAAACATGTAAAGGATCAAGGATTGGAATCAAACTTAATACTTCTTTTGGAATAGAACATTGATTTCCATATTTAAGTTTTTGTACAATAACTCTTTGGATATAATTGTCACAGAAAAAGATATTATATAATTTATCAAATATGCTTGCATCTCAAATAAGCTTAATATAAATTATAATATTAAATAATAATGAATATAATTATCATTACTAAATTATATAAAGCATTTACCCAAATGCTTTAGTTAATACTTTTATATAATCACTCATATTTTTTAAATCTGATGATATAAAGTCTACAAGTTTTAATTTTTGAAAATGTATTCAGATAGATCTGCATCATAGCAGTGGACAACTAAAGTTTCACTAAATCAAATTCATTTAATCGTATAACTGAAAACCATTTGGATTTTTGTATATTATAACTGATTGTTTAAGTAAGTTGTCATCATATCATTTGGATTATGAGAGTCAGATGATAATAGAATCAGTATAATATTGTTATCTTAAGTTAAATAGTTGCCATGTGTGAAATTTGATTAATAGAAGTTACATTTGAAATACAATATTTGTGCAAGTCATGATAATCATCGATATTAAGAATTAAAAGTTTCTGCTACTAAAATTTTAATTAATATTTTATTGAATAAATATAATAATTAAAATAATTAAATTAAAAAAAATAATAAAAATTTTTAACATTATTTGAGATAATTTTCTTGAATTGTTTTTTCATATATATTGACAATTTGTTTTTTATTATTTTAAACAGTTTGATATATTGCACTTAAGCCCATGCTTGAAAGAGTATAGATACCAACAGTTGATATACCAGTGCTGGCATATAAAGTCCAATAACATTTTTTGTTCTAATAACATGTTTGTTTCATAATGCTTCTATTTGATAACAAAGTAACATAACCTTTTGTTTTAGAGCTTCTTTTGTTTTTAATATTTTTGTGTTAGGATTCATAAATTGAAAAATTATACGAAAAAAGCGATAAAGATTTGGATCCCAGTTTTCAATTAATTTTATAAATTCATCAGCACCTAAAACTTTTTATTTCCTTCATGGTGCTGATCTTTATATAAAACTGATGTAGGATATTTGATTTCATCATTGAAAAATTGGACAAAAATATTGTTATCTATTAAAAATAATAAATGTTAATAAATTTGTTAATTTATTATAAATTACTAAAAAAAAACTATTACCTGCAGATATTGGTTTTATTACAGTTTCTAATTGAGTTTTTAATTCTTGAATTTTTATTTTTAACTCTTCAACTAATTTTGAATTATCATCTAACTGATAATGTTATTCATTTTCTTTGAATATTTGGTTGATATGTTAAGTCATGCTCAATACTTCTTTTTCTTAGTATTTTTGTATTTATATAATTATTATGTTCAACAATTGAACAATAGCAACTGTCACAAAGTAAAGTTCCGACTTTAATTTCTGGACAAAGTATCTCATATGCTGTTCCTGTTAAAGTCTTTTCCAATGCATAGTCAGTTGTACTCCTGTATCGCTCTTGAGGTTTTTCTAAGTCGCTAGTAGCACATTGACCAAAAAGTTTTTTTATCATTTTTAATTATAGAAAAAGTGGATTAAAGACATCAAAAACGTTTTAAACGTGTTCTGAAGAATGAAGAAATAATATTTGTTTGTAAGTGGTGACCATATGACTACTTATAGGTGGATATGTACCTAATATAAATAATTAAAGTACTCCATGTAACAATGCAATGAAATTTAGTCATGCTGCAAATTATCGAGTCGAAAAGAGACAATAGAATATTAATTTAGATTATTTATGTATGACAACTAAAATCACAATTTGGATTATTTATGCATGACAAATACAATAAGGATATTCGTTGAATAAAATCGTAACCCTTTTCATTCTAGTTTCTTTTATTGCTTCTTAAAAATGTTTTTAACTTTTTATGAAAATTTATCAAATGATTATGTCAAGCTTTTAGAAAATGGCGATGAACATAATATCATTATTGAAGCCGGAGAACTTCCAGCAATGAAAACTTTTAGAATTCATTCAACAGTCTTGTGCTACCGATGTCCATATCTCTACAATGAATTTAAAAAATTAACTATCAATAACGATGATAATATTAAAATTATTCAAAAACCACAAATATCTGCAAAAGTTTTTAATATTATTATAAAGTAAGTATTATATTTAAATAAATTATATTAACTTTAAAAATAAAATTTTAACAATTTATTAAAATATTTAAAATAGATATATTTATGGAGCTACGGTCAATCTTGAAAAAGTTGAGGCATCTATTATTTTTGACATTTTGATGATTGTGAATAAATTTCAACTTGAAGAATTGGTCGCAAAACTTCAGAATTTTCTTATTGAAAATCATCCTTCTTGGTTAAAATTAAATTTTTCAAAAATTTATAATTCAAGTTTTCAAACTCAATTTAAAGCACTTCAAAAATTTTGCAATGATATAATTGCAAAACATCCAAGTTTGATTTTTGAATCAAGCGATTTTATTACTCTTCCGGAAGCAGCTTTGGTATCCATTATTCAAAGGGATGATTTACAACTAGTGGAATCCAAAATTTGGGATTACGTAATTCAATGGGGAATTGCTCAAAATAAAACTTTACCTTCGAACCTTGATGATTGGATTGATAAGGATTTTCAAATTCTTAAAAATACCTTACAACATTGTTTACCTCACATTCGATATTTTCAATTTTCTAATGAAGATATTACGGAAAAATTATTTCCATTTCAACGAATTCTTGATAATACATTATGGGCTGATATTTTTAAATATTTTATGACTCCAAACAAATCCATTACCTCGACAATTTTACCACCCCGTAAGGTAGTTACCATTCAACTTCCAAATCGTGGATATACTTTTCAAATCGTATCATCAATTATTACAAATGAACTTGCAGCTAAAATTGCATCGTGGATTGACAAGAAAGAAGTAACCTATGATGCAAATAATAATCCATATGATTTCAACCTCATTCTTCGTGGAAGCAGGGATGGATTTGAAAATAAAGTATTTTGGAATTTATGTAATCGGAAAACAAATCTTGTTGTTGTTGTGAAAGTCAAAGATGCTGACGAGATCCTTGGTGGTTACAATCCTGTTGGTTGGAATTCTGATTTTAATAATCAATATTTTGAAACTAATGACAGTTTTATTTTTTCTTTAAAAAGTGGAAATATCAAAGATTATATTCTTAGTCGTGTAAAAAATGCAAGTAATGCTATTTTTAATGACTCTGCTTTTGGACCAAATTTTGGTGGCTATGATTTATATATGTATTGTAATCATTTTTCCATTAACTATATTCGAGGCTATAAAAAACTAATTAGAAAAACAAATGATGGATTTTCAACAGATGATTACGAAATTTTTCAAATTAAAAAAAGATAAAATATTTTAATTTATTAATATGCTTTATTATATTACTGCATGTTTTTAGGAATATTTATATTAAAGTAGATAAAATTAAAGTAAAGCTTCTAAGTTATATTAATTAAACGCTAAATTATTTATAGTTAAAAAAAGAACAAGGGCACGCAAGTTCTTAATAAGCAGGGTAAATTTGTTTCAATATTTATGATTGCGAAGTTTTTATTCATAAAGTTTTCCGAGCTGAAAAGTGGCAAGTTAAAATATTAGTACGAAAAAATTTATAAGTTCAGAATTCGCTCTTTCTATAAACTAAGAGACTGAGACAATATTCAACCATGCAAAGTGTGATAGAAAGATAATGACACGTGGGAACAAGCAACAATAATATTAAATTTATTTTTATGAATATTATAAACTAGATAAGAATAAAATAAAGACGATTTTATTTGAAGAATGACAGAAAATAAAATAATTTAAGGAATTTTATAGCTATTGAAACTAACTTAATATTCACATATAGGTTCAATTTGATTATTTTCATACCCCGTAAATAAAATTCTGGGTCCAAAACCTTTTTAATATTATTATTATGTAATCGTTAAGCGAATAAAACCTAAAGCGATAAATATTGTCTATTATGGTGATTACTATTACATAGAATACGAGTCACCTGATAAAGTTAAATAAAAAAGATTTGTAAAAGTAGCATTCACGTAGATTATCCGTTTTAATTTCAAAACATTTGGTATTTCTTTTCCAGCGTCATTACACAAGACTTTAGTAGAAGAACAATTATGATATACTTGAAAGAAATTGGTGGTTTCACGTTTAACATAAACATCATTATTCGCAGTAGGTGAACATTCTAGCTACTTGTTTGTAGAATTTGGAAAATCGACACATGATTCAGCTGCTATTGTTAGAAAACGAGTAAAAGTTAAAATGAGCAATAATGATGATGAGTAGATTGATCGAAATTTCATCTTTACTATTTGAATTAAGAGTATGAGGAAAAGTTTACTCGTCTTTTTCCTTTACTAATTGTCTCTCCGAGAAACAAGTTTATAAAACAATTTTATTAGGAATTATAGGCACAAATGAAATTTTTCGAATTTTCATTGCATTATCCTTTTTTAAACATGCATAAAAATCGGTGAACGCTTTCTTTAAAAAATTTCGGACATGCGATTCAATTTTTTCAGAGATATTAGATAAAGCCTAGATTTTCTAGGCATTAAATTTATCCAGGAATCTCGTTATAAAGTCTATATTTTCAATTGACTTAAACTCAATAGCTTAAATATGTATCAAATACAAAATTTCATAAATAATAATTATAATAATTATATAATTAAACAAGAATTACAATCCGTTTTGGCACAGTGACGACTATGTTTATTTGCTTGTTCCATTTTATCTGCATATTGTATTGTTTGTATTTAGAATTTTAATTAGAATTAAAAATGTATATATATGGTAGTATTAAATAAATAAAAAATAATAATCATGCTACTCTCGAATTTAGCAAAAATTCCTATTTTTCTCTTCCGGAACGACTATTTCTAATTTTAGAAAAGGGAAGAGCAAGCAGGAAATTTATTCTAATAATAACGTTAAACTTTTAAAATGAAACATTTATTTTAATTCCACTTTTATCCTTTATAACTCATTTATTAATTTTTAAATATTTATTTAAATCATTAGATGTCTGAATATTAATAGTCGTAGACATTGTAAATCGATATTTAGGAAATATATGATATTATAAAAATGACAATAATATCGGAACGAACATATTTAATTTGAATTATTTATTTTGTTTTTTATTTATTTTTATTTATTTAGTAACGAAAATTAATTTTTTTTTATGATTAATTATTTAATTATTAAAATTATATTAAAAAGATTAACAAGGTCACCATATCATCATCATTATCATCATCAACTCAGTTCTAAAGTTGAATGTTACGTGATGATTATTTTAAATAATTATCGATATTAAAACTTTAAATATTATAATTTATCACAAAACTACACAATTACTACTTGTAGCATTATTAGTGACATCATAATTGATGACGAATTTATTAATTTTTGTAGGAGTTTTGCCAAAGTATTAAGTAGAAGTTGAATACCATAAATTCGATAATAATTAATAATAATATTGTTGTTGCCGTAGCGTTTGAAGAATCTGCAATTTCAATATTAGTTATTTTTTTTTTTCTAAAAAAACAAGAGTTCAGGATCAGAGGAGTTTTATTGGCTGAACTTTATTTAAATACTAAAAATTTAATAACAATTGAATCCTAAATTAGCAAATATTGTAAGTTATTAATTAATTAATAATATTTTTCGGTATTACATTTTTTTATATTAAAATGGATATTTTTTTTTTATTTTGAGAAATTATTATTCACTTTTTCTAATTTCTAAAAAAAAATGATCATTTAAATTAATATTTTATGCAAAATAAAACAAATAGGTAACAAAAAAAGTTAAAAATTTCTAAAAAAATAGATCATCAAAATTAATATTGCTATCTATTTTTGGAAATTGATTTTTTTATTCATTATTTATCATTGAAATTGATATTTTATTTAAATTAAACTGTATACAAAATAAAAAAACAAATGAACAGATTTACTAATTATTTTTGAAGATAAATTATTTATTCACTAAAAAAAAATCATATGAAATTATTATCTTGAAACTTAATTGAACTAAAAATAGATAAACAAATAAATAAATTATTTAAGAGAATTATTATTTATTTTCTTAAAAATTTCTTAAAGAAATTATGATTTGCATATTAATTATTTCTTTCTTTCTAAAACAGTAAAACAAATCTTTTTATTTCAGGAAATTAAATAATAAAGTATACAAATCTGTTTGTAGTCTTCTAGATTAAAGATCATTTGTGCATGTAAAAATTTTGTATTTTTTGATGTTTAAAAAATTTTATTTTTTACCAAAAAAAAAAAGAAAGAAATAAACTTATTAAAACATAAATATATTTGATTTTTAATTGAGATTAAACTATAAAATGAGTTATTATTTATATAATATATTTGAGGTGAATATACCAGAATAATGTATGAATGAATTTTCAATAAATAATACACAAATTCAAAATCTTTTCAAAAATCAAAATTCTAATAATAATCAA